TGACTAATGATGTTGAACATTTTTTTAATGTGAATATTGTTCATTTGTATACATTCTTTGGAGAAATGTCTATCTTTGTCCACTTTAAAATTTTGTCATTTGTTCTTTTTATTATTGACTAGCATTATGGGGTGGATATGGTCTGAGTGTGTCCCCCAAAGGTTCATGTGCTGAATTGGTTCTTAGCCTGATGATGCTGATAGATGGTGGAACCTTTGAGAAGTGATGCTTAGTGGAAGGTGATGAGGTTGTTAGGGCTACTTTCCTTGAAGGGATTAATGTAGTTCTTACAGGACCCTGCTTAATTCCTATTAAAAGAAACAAGAACAAGAACAAGTCTATAAAAAGAACAAGTTATAAAAAGAACAAGTCTAGCTTCTGAATCTCTCTGGCTTTCTATTTTTCCAGGTGATCACTCTCAGGGGCAGACTTCCACCATTGTGATGCCATCCACCATGTTTTGACACATCCAAGGGAGCCCTTACCAGAGGCCATAAGAGGGGCAATGGGGTTGCCTGATCTTGGATTTTCAGCTTCTAAAACTGAACTATATAAACCACTTATAAAATTCCCAGTCTCAGGTATTTTGTTATAGTGATGGGTAATGAAATAATAAAACATCATGTTCTTTTATTCTGTCCCATTTACAATATAATTGTCTTAAGTGTTTCCTCTATATCCTCCATATTAATACCTTAAACATCGCTGTGATCTTTTTATAGTCAAACAATAGGAAACTCAAAAGAAGAAAAAAGTATATTGTTATTTTCCTATGTTTTTTTCTTCTAATGTTTTCCCTTCCTGATGTCTTCAGAATTATTTATTATTTTTCTTCTGCAAAGAGAAAACCCTTAAGCCATTCTTTTAGGGTAGGTCTACTAACCACAAATGCTCCAAGTTTTCCTTCATTTGACAATGTCTTGATCTCCCTTCATTTCTGAAGGATATTTTCACTGAGCATACAATTCTGTGCTCTTTCAGCATTTGAAATAAGTTGTCCCAACTTGCTTCTGGCCTCCATGGTTTCTGATGAGAGATCTATTATGTGAATTTGTTTTAAGGTGTCATTTCCCTCTTGTTGCTTCCAATTTTTTTGTTGTGGTTTGTTTCTTTCTTTCATGGTTTTCAGAACTTTGACTATGATATGTCTGGCCATTGATTCCCCTGGGTTTATCCTGTGTGAAGTTCACTCAATTTCTTGAAAATTTGGAACTTTCCAGGTACTATTTTTTTTTAAATACTTTCCCACCTTTTCCTCTCCTTCTGAAATTCTGATGATGTAAACTTTCAGTCTTTTGTCATAATATTGCATGTCCCCTAAGGGTTTATTTTCTTTTAGTCTTTCTGCTGTTCACATGGGGGTAATTCCTATGTACTTATAGCCTATCTTTCCTACTGACCATTCCCTTGTCTTCAACATTTTGAACCCCTCCACTAATTTTTTTAGTTTGATTATTTTATTTTTCAGCTATAAAATTTCTAACTAGTTTTTTAGATTTAAATTTATTTGCTACAACTTTCTAATTTTTTATTCATTTCAAGCTTGTTTGTAATTGCTCATTAAAACATTTTTAATAGCTACTTTCAAATCCTTGCCAGATAATTCAAACATCTGTATGATCTTGACATTGGCATCTATTGATTATGTTTTCTTATTCAAGTTGAGATTTTCCTGTTTTTTGCTGTCATGAAGCATTTTCTATTGAAACTTGGAAATTTTGGGTATTGTGTCATGAGACTCTGAATTTTATTTAAATATTGTGTTTTAGCCATTCTAGTCTGACAATGTTCCTTCAGGGACCACCTTGTTATTGCCAGGTGGTAGTAGAAGTCCAGGTCTTGAGCTACTTCCACTGGTACCCAGAGGGAGATGCTCCTTATTCCTGCTGAGTGGGATTGAGAGTTTAGGGACCTCTAGCCTTTGGCTGAGGGAGGGTCATGAGTTCCTTCTTACTGCTTCTCATATGGCCATCTGTGCAGTGATACTCTAGTGGTGGTGGTGGACTTGTTAGCACTAAGCAGTAACTGATCACAAGGTTCCTTGTCATACTATGAGAATGACGGGGAGGGACACCATATTACCATGAAGTGGGTGTAGAGACTAGGCTCCATATGGTTTCCAGGGACACGATTGGTTTAGGAAGGCCATGACTGCTGGTGATGAAAATCCAGGCCTCCCACTCAGTCTGCTCACACCTCCCAGGCAAGGGGCTCAGGCTACTTTGTTATAGCCTGGAGAGGTGGAGGTCTGGGTTTTCCACTCAGCACTTATTGGTGGGGGTGGGAGTGGGGCTGTCTTACCCGTGGTGTTTGGCTGGAGTGGAGCAGTAAATGTATAAGAGTGTTTGATGTTGCCTCTTTCCTGGTCTTTTGGCTAAAGACAACAGGCTTCTGCTAGGCTTGTTTGCACACACTGGTGTGTCTAATTTGCTAGCTTCTCTATCACCTAGTCTGGAGTAGATAAGGAAAAAAGAAATCCTAGGGAATTCACTGCTGTGTCATTCTTTGGGTCCCAGGGTTTTCAACCAATCTATCTTTTCTCCCCACTTCTCAGAGTCTTATGTTGTTTTTAACTGTATTCAGGAGGATGATAGGAAAAGTACTTATAGCCTATCTTTCCAGAAACAAAAGTCTCAAATAGTGATTTGATGTTTATGTTGTTATATTCATAGAAAAAACCCAGTTGGTTTACTTAAGGTTTAAATCTTAGGGTTTTAGCTAGGAAAAACTATGCATACTTTCATAACTTGGACACAATTAGTGGCTGTTACTTAAATTATAGGCAAAATTTCCAGGTAGATTATCTAATAAATGTCATATAAGATTAAGTCTGATACGAGCATACCAGTTAAGTGATATCAAATTGTTTCATATTCCAGTATTAATGGCCAAATAAGGAGAAGCATTAAATACTTTGGGCTCTATTGACAAGATTATCATATATGAAATCTTTGTACTCTAAGAAAAGTTAGTTATAAAATGAAATTTCATAATCAAACCATATTTCCCATTGATTCATTTCCTAGTTTAAGCAAGGACATAGCTAGCATCTGCTAGATTTGAGATGTCCAGATGACTACTGCCCTATGTGATAACTGTGGTAAGGAAAGAAGACTTTTGCTTGCCAGTACAGTAGGAAAGAATTTGGTATCCCTCTCATGACATATGAAGAAGCACTATCACTTATGAAATAGCCTTACCAGTAATAAAGACCAGTTTTATTCTTTCAATTATCGATTTCATTATAGCAAGCTTCCACATTACAAATTTCCATAGAATTTAAGGCATCCCTATTAGGTAGTAATAACCATGAAAGATAGTTTTGGTTTTTTGCTTCCCATTCACACAGCTAATAATTCTAATTTAATTAATCAACAAGCCTCTGTAGACCTAGAAAGCTATTTGTTTAGCACTGTGCTAACAGTTAAAGGACACAGAAGGTATAAAAAACTGACAATTTAGTAAAAGAGACAAAATCAGTACATAAACAATGACAGGGGCAAACATATAATTAAACATGTAATTAAAATATACGAACAATCAGCTTTAATAAAATTAACACACTTTTATAGGAAAAACATATCAGAGTGATACTGGCCAAATTATATTGTTATATTGTATGCATGTATGAATATAGCAAATCCCATCATTATGTACAATTATAATATAGGCACAAAAATGAGGGAAAAATATCAAAATGTTTAACACTAGATTGTAACAAGTTTTCTTACTTGAGCTTTTAGGGTTTGTAGTTGTCCTTCATAATTCTGAGTCATTGCTAAATTACATTTTTCCAGACTGTCCAACTTCTGTCGAAGTAATCCCACCTGCAGTAAGAATAAATTTTAATTTTGCTTTCTCTAAATTTTGCCTGACAAAATCAGAAAATGTGCAAAAGAGAAGCATAATTTAAATAAAACTGCTGTACCAGACCAAGAATAAATATTTGTATTGCAGTTCTTAAAATAGCTATTAATAATTCACAAAACCCAAACATTGCCACAACTATTCCACCAGATATACATTATGACAGTGCAATATTGATATTTAACAAAAGATCCTTATCACCATCACATTTTAAACTAAGATTTAGAACTTACTTACTTTGCATTATCTTTTTGGGAAATTGTATCATCAATACTTAGGCAAAACCTCTACTAGCATAATTCATTTTTTTCCGGCCTGCAAAGTGAGCTCTGCTTTAGTGGTGCTATAAACAGCTGTTACATTTTTATAAGAATGAACATATTAAAAAGAAAAATGGCTACGGACAGTTGTTAAGGATTTGGCTTATTAAATTTGTCTGTTTAAAATGTAGGTAAGGCAACTGTTTACATATCTGTGTTCTTATAGGTATAGAAGTAAGAGAATAATCCCTGGCATATGCCAGGACTGATAACTTCCTCTTAGGAGAAAGGAAACTAGATCCCCAAAACTAAGGTAGCCATGCCAAATGAAAATATAGTTAACTATGCAAATAACAAAATCTATTGAAAGGCCAATAAAGGTAGAAAAGTAGCCAATGAATAAATTAACTGATGAAGTTTTAATATATGATTAGTAAACATTTCTCTTATGCTTCATTCATCAACCTCACCCCCTTGCCAAATACAGACACACACAAGTCAGTGCTAGGTAAGGCATATCGTTTTCCTGAACTTCCCAGGCCTGAGAACTCTCTCACATTCTCTGACCACCAGTTTGGCAATGAGCAGCCCAGCAGGGTCTGAGGGAGCTCCTCGAGGGTGGGTGCTCAGCTGCACACACATCTTAACCATACTCTATTCTTCTTTGTCCTACCACAATCAATTCTTACACCTAATTTTCAGGAAGTATTTTTTCTCCCAGATTAGAGGAGGCAAATGCTCTTGAACTCTGCCTTGAAGAAAGACACAGTTTTGATAGCCACTTCTTTGTTTCTATAGTAGCAAGCATTTACATCTTTGTTTGGAAACAATATTTATTTCACATATACAGTAATCTTTTTTTTACTTTTATAGATGGCATTGACACTATAGGACCATCTTCATCAGTAAGTATCTATGGATTTATTCTCTATGCTTATTTCTTGGAGTACATTAAGCATAGTATTTGTTGGCAGAATGTCAAGTAATAAATGCTGTTGCAGATGCCTGAGTAAAAGTATCTATAATGAAAAATGTTATAATAGAATAAATATTATTTGTAAGAGTCTGATGAATTATGATTTATTAATACACGCATTAAGTACCTCTTGACCTTTCTGATCCAAACAAGTTTGTGCATTTGCCAACTCTTGATCCCGAAGATCTAATCGTGTCTCCAAAGCCCTCATCTTTCTTTCCCAATCCAATTTCTTGTTGCTTACCATGATGTCAATTTGTTCCATTAATTCCTGAAGCTCAGCCTCACAAGGAGAAGCTCTGGCAATTGTAGAAAAGTAAAATACATTTTAAAAGACTGAATTGTGGGGGCAAGAAAAATTATTAATTACTTGGCCTAGCTTGATCATTTCCTCAAATTATTCAATTATTTAAATAGGAAGAAGTCTAAAAGCTAGAGGTTAATTTTTTAAATTAAAACTAAAAGCTAATTTCAGAGCTAGTAGTACATATACACTTAATTTTTTAAAATAACATTTCTAGAGTGGACTAATTATGAAAACTGGTAAGATTTAGCTGAAGGATTGTTACAAGTAAGTATATATGTACCTCTGTCTCATGTGTGTGTGTGTGTGTGTGTGTGTATCTGTCCACACACCTTGGGAAGATTTTAGAGGCAAATTGGGACATCAAAAGAGCAAACCTGAACTAGAGAGGACCAGATTCATGAGTACTAACTATGCTGTCATACTGCTCCTCAAAAAGGGGGAACCTGGGCATGATGTCTATTTGGAAGAAATTTGATCAGACAGGTGTGGACAGTGTAGCACAAGTCTTTAGACAATGGGAATACTATAAGTGATATAGATGGCATTATATTTGGTCTAGAAAGGTCTACTGAGGTTGAAACTTGGTAACAGTGAATATTATAGACACTGAAATCTGGGAAGATGACAGATTGCTAGGTCTTCTCAGTACTGGGTTCTTTTTCTAGAAAGTTGAATCTTCCCAGAGAGTCCAGTCTCTTAGACTGGATAAGCAGGTAGATATTAAGACCTCAGACTTCAGTCAAGGGTCACAAAAATATCCTTATTAGGAAAGTGAATTATTTCATCATTCATTTCAATGGTGTTGATCAAGCTTCTAATACATTATTGCGGTAGAGAGGAGGGCAGGAGGAGAGGCAAGTGTGAAATAACATTTCCCCATTTAGTTTAACCAAATCAGAATTTTAGGGCTAATTAAGGATTATTTAACATTTTGGAAAAAAATAAAAATAAAAATGAGACCCACAGAGGTCAAGGTCACACACAGCTAATTGTTCAAAGAGCTGGATCCTAGGCAGCTGTTTCTTACCTTTCATGCCTTCCTGTATATCACACAGCAGAAGACATGGTGTTATGGACAAGAACATGTTTAAAAAATACAGCAGAAATTCATTCCATTGCAATAGGGTACGGTTAGAAACAGGTGTCAGAACCTAATGGATTCAGAATCTGAAATCATTTCCTAAAATACCCAGAATCATCCTGGTTTATTCAACAATGTATTTACTGATTTTGATATCAGAGAGGTTTTAAGTACAAAGTGCCATTTTGAAGCCTCATAGTAGTCCTGGAATAAGGCCCCAAAGCTTTTTCAACTTTTACTTAACACCTAAACCAAATCTGAGGAAATACAGCATACTAATTCCTCTATAAATAATTTGATTGATTTTAATTTAAATTATGATGTAGAGCAAAAGTACAGAACTGGCCTGGTGTTCTCACAACTTTTTTTTGTTGTTGTTATCAGGTATCATCATTTCCTACACATACATTTTGTATATTTCTTTTACTAGTTTAAGCTCTGGAAAAAGGGGACTTTATCAGTTTGGTTCCTCTCTATCTCACCAGAGCCTAGTGCAATACCCTAGCACATATTAGATACTCAATAAAACTTTGAAAAAAGAATAAATGAGCTGTTTGTTCATTATTGTCTCCTTGGAATATAGGAATGCCCCATGCTAATACATAAAAATGCAGGCCTAGAGTGTGGACATAATGTAATCTACCCAATTAATTTTATTAAATAATTTATTTATTAAATAATTAATTATTAAATAAGTGAATGAGTGGCTTACTTCCTGGTTATGACAATGGTATAAAAAAGTTAGAATATTAGACTCTCGGGTGGAAGGACTCTTACAAATCATCTAGTCCACTGCTTTTACAGTGTGTACATTCCTTCTACAAATACTTCTTGAGAAAATCATCTGGCATACAACATGAATCAGATTCATCAGATCTAGGACAGAGTCCAAAATTCTGCATTACTAACAAAAGTATCAAGTGATTCAATGCCTGCTGAAGTTTGTGATTTATTTTGCAACATCACTGCAAAGAACTCACCCAGCCTATATCTGGATTCTTCCCTTAACTAATAGTTCCTGTCTGAGATTGCTTCTAGATGACAATAAGTTAGAATTTTTTTTTTATATTGAACAACTTTTCCATGCACAGGTCCTAATTTGATCCATTGAGACCATTCAAAACTTTTCAACACAGAATGTTGAAGGTTAACATACTTGAATACAGTCATCAATGTACTGAATGCAGTTTTCAGTGTTCCCTGTTTTTTCTTCTCAATGTTAAGTATTAGAGACTGAATATACAAATGAATGATGGCCAGACCACATGATAGACTATGACTTGCAACTTCTGCAACAACTAGTTTGCAACAATCATGCCAGAAAGGTCAGAGCTTGGTCACTGACTGCCAGCTTCCCCAATTTTTGCTCCCACTTCCAACTCACAACCAACTGGAGAAGGCCACATAGAATCTCCAAACTAGTCACATAGAAAGCCCTGCTTCTAGTTATTCTGTTCTTAGCTTCTCCATGCCACTAGTCTCCAGTCACAGCAGACCTGAAGCCTCCTGGGCCACTTTTTTTTTTTTTTTTCCCACTATAAAGCTTTCTCATTTCCCTTCCTGCCTTTGAGTCTGCCAAGTAGTGATCATGGGTGATTACCTTGGTGATATAGCAAACTCGAAATAAATAGCTTTTGCTTGTTCTCATCTGGGTTATCTTGCTTATCCAAAAAATACCTTTGTTTCTTTTGATTGATACTAGACATTTTTCTCCACTTCTCTATACTCTTTACCCAGTTGCCCGGAAAGTATTACATATTTAGAATAAATTTTTTAAATTAATGAAAAAATTAATAACTATTGTAATATTTTCAGCCTTTTCAAAATCCTAGTGATTTGCTTTTGAACAAGTTGTTTTTTTATTTCCTACTTGAAATGTACCACTCAAGACTTTAACATAACACCATAGGTATGTCTCTTCAGCTCAGACAGGGACTCACATCTGTTGTTTTAGGTATCATATACTTTCATTCAACTTGATAGAGGTCACAATAGTTTAGAATTTTGGAGGGGAAAGGAAAAAGTGATATCTACTATTACAGGGTGGGTTTATTCTTTTTTAAATATTTTTTTAAGTTGTAAACAGACACAATACCATTATTTATTTAGTTTTATGTGGTGCTGAAGATTGAACCTAGTGCCTCACATGTGCTAGGCAAGCACTCTAGCACTGAGTCAAAACCCCAGCCCACCAGGTGCCATCTTATCTAAATTTATTTATTCTTATCTAAATTTATCTTTCTTTTTCCATGCAAGCTCTGAGTAAGCCACTTATTCACTATCTTCTGCTTGTTTAGTTTCTTAAGGGGGATCCAAGGGCAGGGCTTTACAGTCATCCCTATTGAATTTCAGTTTCACAGTTTCAGGTTTTCAGCCTGGGTCACTGGTTCATTAACCACTGTATGAGATACTGGGAAAATTGACAGGAAGCCAGACGCTACCTGTGCATAGAAAGGGACATTCAAGGAAGGCAGAAGAAAAGACTGATGAATACGTGCAGGTATCTTAGAAAGGAGGAGTCTTGAACACAGACCTAGAACAGAGATTGGGCTATCTCAGGTGTCCTAAATGAGGTGATATCTGAGCTTATATTTGGGATCCTGCTTCCATCAGAGAATGTCTTTACTAAACCATCCAGTTTTGGGTCAGCTGCAGATTAGCTATTTTATATAGAGACATTCACAACATTTATATATTAAAGAAATAGGGATATATAAAATATATACTTTCATGTACTACATGTGTATATAAAAGCTATTAATAAAGTGCCATCAAGAATAAAATTGAGGACAGAGCCTTGTGACATTCTACTATCAAGCCCTTCATGGTGACAGTGATCCATTGATTACTCCCCTTTATTATTATCAGATACTAATCAATTTAATTAACTTTGCAACTTTTTCTTTCTTTCCTACAAAAATGAAAAGCCCTGTAAAATATGATGGTAAAACTCAAATACAACAGCAAACTGCCCACATTCCTATTCTACTGACACAGCAGCACCAGCACCCACCATGGCCACCATTCAGCATCTGGAAGGAAGATGGCACCTGGTGGACTATAAAGGCTTTGATGGCTACACGAATGAATTAAGAGAGGGACTTACTATGAGGAAAATGGGTGCAATGGCTAAGTCAGAGTGTATCATCACTCTTGAAAACCAGAAATTCATATAGAAATGGAAAGCACCTTGAAAACAACATAGTTTTTTTTTTGTACCCTGGGAGAGAAGAAACTGTAGCTGATGGCATAAAAACTCAGATGTTTTGCAGCTTTGTAGACAGCACATTGGTTCAGCATCAGGAATGGGATGGGAAGGAAAGCACAATTATAAGAAAATTGAAAGATGGGAAATTAGTGGTGAAATGTGTCATGAAAAATGTCACCTGTACTTGGTTCTATGAAAAATCAGACAAAATTTCTATCATCACTGTGGACAGGAATTAACTGCAAGAATGAAGAAGCTTAGTTCAATGAGCAAATCTCCCTACTGCTGCTGCTTTTTTTTTTCATTGCTGTGTTCAATTATCTCTTTATCATA